GTGTATATATATATATATATATATATATATAAAATGTATATTATATTCTTGTATATTTGATTAAATATTATAATTTAATATTTTTTATTGTATATATTTTTTTGCTTTTATTTATTTATCTTTATTACCTAAGAAGGTGCTTTAATGTGTTCATATTTTCTAGACAAGAAAATGGCAGCTTTCCTTTGTAAAATAATGACCAATTTAAAAATGCAGTCCATTGCAATTTGAATGCAGTTCCTGGAATCAGTTTTAATGAATTATATATATATATATATATTTTTTTTTTTATACTCAAAAGCACTGCTGGAAACCTGAATTACTGCTTTACTCAGGAAGGCATCCTGCTGAACTCTTGTCTTGATTTGCAGTGGATACATGCATAGTTTCCCCTAAAAAACTTTTCCAGTTGATTATAAAGTTCAAAACCTTTATAAAATGCAGTCAGTTAAATACAAATAGTAGACTCTTGCAGCAGTCAGGAGGGATGTTTTTTTGGGAAAGTACAGCTGAAGTTAAATCACTCTTGTCTCAATATTTTGGACCAAAAGAGGGTCATAAACAAAGGACACATCATCACCCGTTTGATGAATGAGTTACCAGAGGAAAAACTCACGCTGTTGGATTCAGCTCGGGGATAAAATACTATATTAGCCATTACATTGTAGAGGTTTAGTATTATGCTGACCTTAGTTAAAAGTACATATGCCAGTCTTGTTGTTAGTGCTGTTGTTCATTAATGCATGTGTGTTTTGCTTTCAGAACTGCCCGAGTCTCCATCCTCGACTCCGCTTCCCAGTCATCCTGACTCCGCGTACATCGTTCTTGGAGTTGCTTGCAGTTTTTGTCTGTTGATGATACTGATGTTCACGGCCATATGGTTGCACAATCGCTCTTATTTGCAGTAAGTTCTTTGTCATTTCTCCTTTTCTTAGTCAACACGAAATCAAAGTTGTTTACTTGACCAGTTCCTGGTCTTATTGTGCATGATTCATCAGTTCGTATTATTTAATTTGTTCATAAAATAATACATAAAAATAAAATTCAAATAATAATAATAATAAAAAATGTAAATGCACTTTCATTTAATTACTGTCTTCGGGTGTCTGTATGCGTTGTTTTTCTGAGGTGTTCTTAAAGGCATTTCGCAATCCCAGCACTTCATTTTATCCCTCGAGGTTTAATTGCTGTAATTGTTGTTAAATCTCACTGGGCTGTGTGATTTTCAGATGTCTTGATTCCAAGAGCAAATCTGAAAAGCAAGAGCTATTTTAGAGACCAGAGTGCGTTCTTCTTAATGTACTTGGGGCAAGAAATTGAAGGCGTCAGGAAAGTAAAGTAGGGGGAAAGTTGGCCTTATTTTGGAGGACAGAGTTGGCCAAAGCAGCACTGAGTAAAGAGCTTCAAATTACGTCTGGTTGTTTGCGAGTGAGACTAGAGACAACGTCTCCTGCATTCTCTGAAATCCTTTAACAACATCTGGCTGACTTCACCAATCGTTTGCAGTGGTGGTTTTGCGGTTAAAGATCCACTATGTTGCTAACCAAATGTTAACCGTTCAGGGTCTGTTAGACTGCATCTAAAATTGCTGCAAAGGATGCAAAATTAAAAAACGTATCTGCATTGAAGACAGACAGGAAAATTAGTATTTGTATGTCGTCAAACCAGGGTTAATGAAACGTCTGCTTTGCCATTGTCTTGACAGTGTCTAGTTAAAGGCAAACATTCACAAAGTTTTGTTGTTTAAATATATAGTTACTTCATCCCAGTTCAGAAGGAGGCAAAAAAAAGGAGACTAGCGTTCTAGTCATTTTTTTATAGTCTTTATAGTTTTTATAGTCCTTTTTTACTATAGCAGCTTTGACCAGCATGAAGTTTCATAGTTTTTGCTGGTTACTGTTGGTTTTGTGCTGATATAACTGGTTGATCTACATTAGTCGACTAGCACATTGTTTTACACTGTAAAAAAAATCTTATTTAGTGTGTTTTTTTATTTTTTTATTTAATGTATTTTAGTCTTTTTTTCTTGTTTTCCAGTATAAATATCAAAATATTCTTAAATCAAAGATACAAGCAAAATAACATTAAACATTAAGTCTTGTTTTCTAAAAAAATTTAAAAGTATCAAAATTAAGTTTAAGTTTATAACACAAACATTTCTGCCAGTGGGGTAAGAAATATCTTAATTCAAAGGGAGAACAAGTTTATTTTTCTTACACAATTGGCAGCTTTTTAAAAATATTTATTTGTTTGTTTATTTGGTTTTGCTTAAACTTACTTAAATAAATAAATTAAATTAAAAACTGTTTTTTTTTTTCAAATTGTAACTTTAAATGAACATGAAACATGTTTATTTTTGTATTGCTGTGTGTGTGTTTTTTGTTTGTTTGTTTGTTTTTTCTCTCTTTATTCAGTTCCATCACACAAAGGCTCAATGCAAACATAGGGAAAAGTTGCACATCTCAAAGCATGCAAAACAGAACAACAGCAACAACAAAAACCGCAAAATTAATACATATATATATATATATATATATATATATATATATATATATATATAAAATAACAGGATAAAAAAATTATACATTCATTAAGGCAGTTTAAATTTAAAAAGCTTTAGAATTTGTATTGTTTTTATAAACTTCTTATTTTGTGATCTCATATTAGAAAGGGTTTCAAAGTATATTTTAAGATCAGCGTTACAAAATGTAATATATGATGGTTTCTTTTTAATTACTTTTGACTTTTGAATATAAAACTTTGCTAAGATAATTAACAGATTAATAATGTAAATAATGTGTTTAACAGAAAAAGATGGGTTGTGATAACAAAGTAAAATATCATGAGGTTCTAAATTAAGGGCTTTGTTTAATTTTTTTTATGTCATGTC